TAGCATTTCAATGAAGTTTAACAACAAATAAACAATTCTATAATGTGTGTGTGGAAAGCCTTTTTTTACTAATTGTCAGCTAGCTGTTATTACTTAATGTGCTATACGTAATGGCCGTGTAATTTTTTATATGTTATACATAATATTATTATTTATTATAACAAATTTAGATATGAGTATCCTTACTATCTTGAAAATGATATAATATAATTTATATAAATTATATATTGTAGAATGTAGAACTATGGTGTGGCTTAAATTTGTATTGAAGGAATTATACGTCTGTAACGAAATTAATTAATATTTTCCTTGAACGAAACATCAAAGTAATATTCATGATTCTTAATTAACGCGAGACTTTGTTTTGCAAAATAGTATTAAYAAATATTATTATTATTATTCATTTGTAATTTATAAATTGATTATTTGAGATATAAATAATATTTTACTGAGAAATTAAATTATATTGGACAGTTTTAAATATTATAGTCTGTTTTGTTACAATTCGATTTCTGTATATTAGATTACAATGAAACCTCTATATAGTGGACAGCCATGGGGAATTTAAAAATGTCTACTATAGGACGACGTTATAAAGAATTGGTTATACACTAACATAACATATATAGTACCTACATATATTGAATTTGGTACATATTAATTTATTATTTATTATATACATAATATGATGGATGCATTTAAAGGTGGATATAAAAATGTATGATGTTTATATTAATTAAAAATTTATAATGAACGTTAACGTAAATTAATTTCTTTTTTAAAGGGACTTTACAAGCACTGCCTAGTTTCTACGTATAATTCTGTACTTACGAGTTACGAGTCGCGATGCAATATGTTAGATGTTAGACACAGATGAATATTAACTATTAAAATATAATGTTATTTAGATTTGTTACTTTGCTATGATATTATTTGTTTTGGTATATCCGAGATACAATAAAAAGTCTTGTTAATTATTATTATCATTATTATTATTTTGTCGGTTCTATGATTTAACTACAATTGGTACATAAATTTACATTATTGCAATATTTGCAATTATATATTATATCTCAATTGTTTCCAGTTTATTATCATCTGTAATTCTATTCAAATTTTCTTTGTAATATTATAACAAAATTATTATGTTCTGATTTTGTGAAATATTCTAAACACACGTGAAAGCGACAGGCGGCGATTTTAATCGAAATTACACGGGTAATTAAAATAGATGAATAGGAAAATATAATATAGTTTATCTGCATTTGGATGTATTACGCGATTACGCCATAAGTACGCAAAATTAAAAACTGCTCAGTTCATAAACATACAAGTATATAATATAATATCATGTAACATGATATACATATTATCAACATCGCCTACTTCGTGCGTATAGCCTAAGGGTACCATAGAAATTCTAAATTAAACTGTAGATTGGTAGTAATAATATTTGGAACTTACCAATTATTACTACGATGGATAAACGTGACAGGTAAAGCTGATTACCTGTGGCATACGATTGTGCCAAACAAAATATATTATAYATTATGTATTTGAATAATTATACAACAACACGTGAATCGTGTGAATTGCGCAGTCATAACAGAAAAGTTATTGTTGGTCTAGGTTTTAACAGTCGCTCTGAAACTACATAAGTATATTTAACTAAAATCTGTATATATTATTGTAGGTCAAAAAATATTGAATGACACCCATTCGACATCCATTCTTACTATCACCAATTAATTTACTGACATTAGAAATATTTCGCTGAAAACTCTCTCTCTCTCTCTCTCTCTCTCTACATTTCTACAATATATATTCACCATTTTTTACATAATATAAATTTCTCAAGAACTTAACACGGTACTTAATATTTACCTATATTATGGGTACATCGCAAGCATTTATTACGTTAAGAAAATTCTCTGCTCTGAAAATATGTTACAATTTAATCTTTAGGTACATAACATGTAGCATAACATAGAACACAAACATTAACACCTTCACGCTATACCAAATTCGAAGCATCAAAAGTATTACCAAAGTATTAGAAATTAAGCTGAGAATATATTATAATAACTCAATTTCTTCTATTAAAACTCTTTTATGTTAATTTAATAAATTCTTAAGAGTTTATTTAAATAATAAAATTACCTAAGATACGTCGTTGTGAGTGCACAAAATAATTTTTTACCTACCTAACCTTTAGTCTTTACGTGTTTATATTAATTAGGATTAGGTATTTACCAAAATAGTGCCTGGCACTCACAAACAGATAATAAAAGGTTTGCTTGTATAGAAATATTGGTACTTAAAAGTGAAACTATATATTTTTTTAAATATATTTTTCATGATAAAGGATAGACATTTTTAGATGAAAAAAAATAGTTGACAATCTTATTAACAAATATAGATAAAATTACTATTACAAAAAAATATATCAATATAAATAAATTATTGTATCTACAACTAAACAAATATGAACAATTTACACAATATATATCAAATTAATTGAATATTTATTACATAATAACATGGTAATAATTTAGCTTGTGTTTAAAAATAACCGAAATCCCTACTACAGCATCCTTAATTCGTATAATCGTATCTATAATACCTACATGTCTACAGTATATCTAGTGATCATTTGGAAATTTTAATTTTATTTACACATCTTTACGTTTAATTGTTGTCCTTTATTAATTTATTCTAATGTTGTTGTTTTTTAAAAATTAATTTTTCATATACAAATAATTTAAAATATAATTAACGAAATATGTACATAAATAAAACATTTTGTTCTCGTTAAAATTAATTTTTGTTTTTCTAACATACATAATCAAAAGTAATAATATTTTTATTTTAATAACAAAAAACAAATATATTAATAATTGAAAAAAAATGTGTCATATATCTAGTTAATTAATTACAATAGTCACTCATTTATGTTTCATTTTGTTCTATATCAACCAAATAATTATCAATTATTAGCGATTTTTTTTCACCTAAAAGTTATAGACATTATATATATTATAATAGATATTATAGACATTCAGCGTTTGGATATTAATTTATACTTAATTATAACATTGTTCAATTCTATGTTTTGCATTTAATTAAATATACCTAGGTAAGAAAAAAATATTTCATTTGTTTTATATTTATTTTCATGATTCACAACCTATATGCATAACATAAAATATGTACTACATAATTGATCCTATTTATATATTAAACTCAATTATAATGATTTAAATACTTTTTCCGAAATAATGAAAAAAAATCTCAGAAAAATAAGATATTTAAAATGAAAGTTCAAGTTTAAATAAAATATTTAGAGTCATATTAAATATTAATATTGACAGTATAGGTGAACGTTAAGTTTTATTAAATGTAAGATTTTAATAATGAAATGGTCTTAATGTAAAACACATTTATCAAAAACTTTTGAAAGTTTGTAATATTTTATATATAATATATTTTCTAAATATTCAAAATATGTAGTTCATCTACAATCAATAATGTGAAAACTAAGGGTATTTCCATTTGTTTAATTTGCATATATTTACACAACTTTGTTAGTACATTAAACTGTGTCTAATATAAATATATGAAATAACTTTTCCTTATTCCTCATTTCTTGGCCATAACTACTGTAGCAATGAATATGAAACTTGGTCAGTAGTTTCGTTTTATGGTGTAAGGACTCGCCAAGAAATGGTTCTCCAAAATATACCTTATTAATTGTCCTTATTATTAAATTATGTAATTGTTTCTATATAATATATAATGATAATTTATCTATTAGAACATAACAAAATGTTTTGTTATAAATTATAAGTGTAGGTATATTGTGTATGATGCACTGAATTTCTAATTTTATTGAGTTCCTTAAATATTAATAATTTAAGATCTTGATATTATTACCTAATAACTGTTAATAAACTTCAATGCACTTTGCGTAATACACTAATACGTGTTTAAGATATTTTGATACTTATCAGATTTCTATATTTTTTTTTATCAACACAATTATTATGATAATACGCAAAAGAAAATTAAATTTTAGAATTCAATTATAATAAATAAGTTAAATACATAATATGTAATATAAATAAATGAGTAATAAACTAATATTTTAATTAACTTTTTCAGGTGAATACTCCATACTTTATCTTTTTGTCAGATATAAATTTGGATGGAACGAAATCGATTACAGCCTTTACGCTGCATACAAAATGACAGGGATACTTATAGGTAATATTAAAAAGTATTATTTAAACAAAATACAATAAGTCATGCTTAAATTGCTTTAAGCTGATGTTGGTGCTTATGCTATTGGAGAAAAATCACATATAGTTTTATTTTTTGTTTTTTCAAGTTCAGTCGCAATAAATTACTGTATTAATGAAACTCGAATGTTATTAGAACCTATAACACTAACAGTAGAAAACCGAAATACCCACGTTAAATTGTGTATTATTGTACATGCCGATTTCGTCATTAATATCGTTTTGGGTTTAAAAACAATATTTGTTCACGTGGAAATGGCTTATTTAATGGTGATAAATCTATTTTAGATTTTTCACGGTATCTATAATACACGTGTTTATAACCTACCTACCCACCTAACTAAATAAATAAATTCGTAAAATRTATTTCCCGTTAAAACATATAAGTAGCTAGAAATTATTTTTGACAGACATACTTTTTATTATTTAAGCATGTATTAGTAAATATCCTATTAAACGGCGTAATAATGATGATATTATATTTATTTTAATTAAGTATCTATCACTAAAACAATAAACATTTTTATGCATAATTTTGGTTAAGACGCATACTAGCAGTTATGGAATATTTAAGGCCTATGGTTAAACCTTGAATTCTCTTGAAACTTAATTTCTGTTCCTAGATTATGTTATGTTGGGTTTTCTAAGAAATTTAAAATCATTTCGATGTTAATAAAAATATGAAATAGAAATAAATTGAGATGTACAAGATTTTGATGGACTATTTTAGTTTAAAAACGAAAGTAACTATAAATCATTGAATTTACTAAACTATTAGAACAAAATGTAGATCTGGTTATAATCATATTTCATTACAAAATAGTTGCAAATTGCTGAAATTTGTTGTGAGTAATTTAATGTAGCGAGTGAGATAGGCAGGCTAACTGTTGGCGCTGGATTGTTAATGCATGCAAGTGACAAGCAGGAAACATTTAATTCGTCTTAAAAAAAAGAATAATTTTTCTTAAAAAAATCTGAATATTTTATTTTTCAATAGATAATAAGAACCTATATCAATATCAACATGATTTTGTACTTTTGTAGACATTTCTTTATTTTTGTTGATCATAAAATACATCGGAAACTAGATATATTAGCTTATTATAGGCTATAGCTTATATATACTAGGCTTATTAGTATAAGGATTTTTTTTTAATTAAATTATATATTTCTATTTATTTTTATTTTAAGAATAAGATTGAGTTTTTGTTTCCTGTGAATTTGGTCACAGTGCTTGGTAGATTTGTTCGGAGATGTGAAATTGTAGGCTATTATAATAATATATAATTATACTTTAAACCGTTATTTGATTATATAGGCAGGTACATTCAGCGATTCTTCATAATATTATAAATGTATAATTATCTATATGTCCTATATGAATAATGAATTAACTATTTTTTTGTATTACGAATTACAACTTTATATCGTCATAACACTCGTAACAATCATAAACCATTAAAACTGTGAGATACCGCAAGGTCGAGCCCATTGCAAAATATATAATAATAAGTGCAGTCGTCTGTTTTAGATTTAGAGCGTGAAGACAATCTCATACCAGCTACATAATTTACATAATCGGTATATTAAAAATTGGGTTATTAATGATTTGTAAATACTATTCTTCCTTTTCCCTCAACCTTTCATTTTCAAAGCATTCTAGAAAGCGCTATAATTAGCGGCATGGAGGTTAATGTTTATAGGACAGCAATTATTATAGATTAACACAATTGTACATAGATATTAATAACTAGTTATAAGTTTATCAACTTTTAGTTCCAAAATAGCCTTATAAACATACGAAAGTTAATCTACAAACTATAAAAAGTAAAACGAATGCACACGAATGTTTTATAATATTCATATTATACATGTAAACTAAAACATCATCTTGAAAGTTGAAACTGTAACAATTATTCATTAAGGACGCATAATAATTAAATATAAGATATAATAAGTAWATAAATAAATAATTTAATAGAAAATTGAATGYATTGTTTAAAATAGTTAAGAGTAAATATTTATTTATTATTTTTTTATTTAAGATAAAGGCTTTGACATCTTTAGGTTATTAGCCTATTAAATGTTTATTATGTATATTATTTTATTTACAGGGACTATCGTAGCTATATGGTTAATGAGTGTAAAACTGAAAATGCACGACGCAGCAATAGGATTTATCGGCAGCAGTTTYGACCTAATCGCTGCTGTGTGTTATAGTTTTGTCACTCAACCTTGGCAGCTGTATGCAGGTAGGTCCTTYGCCATTATRCTGAATCAATTTCTAATGATAAATCGAAAATCCCAATTRTTTCACGTGTAAATTTAAAATTTCAGTGCCAGTGATAGATATTTTTCACGGTGCAGCATTTACAGTTAGCACTTCGATGGCGTCAAAACTCGTCGATAATAGTGAACTAGGTAAATAATGTTATTTTATAAAATTATAATAGGTGTCAACATTAAACTTCTTGAATTTATAATTTTATCTTTTTAAATTGTTTTATATTCACTCTRCTGGAGAATAGAAGAGAGTAGAATACTGTATGTGTATATACACACTGATTTTAAATAATTTAAAATGTCAAATATTGTGGGACAATGGCAATATTTCATTAAATTTTTGTTCAACATTTTAATTGTCATAACATAAACACTTATAAGGCGTGCGTAGTTATTATACTTTTTTTTTTTTTAGCACAACTCAATTCCGTTCGTGGTATGCTGGAAACGCTCGCTCCAATTATTATTTATCCGTTATATAATCAATTATATAAACTCACATTTGAAACACTACCAGGAGCTTTTTTCCTATTGACTGCGGTTATTACTGTTCCAGTTGTCATACTATTCGGGTAAATACAGTGATATAATATTACACACAATTTTACAATATTATGCTGTTTAATAATTTGTATTATATTATAACTATAAGGTACTCGTATTTATATATAGAATTGTGTGTTCATATAAATATAGTTAAGCTATAATATTATGTACCTATTAAAATGTAATATGTGTACAATATGTTTATTAAATCCATAAACCTGATCATAACATGCATTGTAATTAATTTTGCCGTATATTAATAATGTAATTAACTGAGTTGTTACTAATTCATATAGGTACCCTTATAAACGCTTTAATGAATAGAAAATTCCTTAAACATTTAATAGTATTTTGAATATTTGAATACTGCAAGATCTAGAATTSTATAGAACTAATTGCAGTTATTTCTCGTTGAAATGTATAAATCGATATAAATAACTATTCATATTTCTCAAAAATATTAGAGTTGTTTTTTTATTGAAACTGTAACATTTAATTGTAATTTAAATGGGTATGCATTTTTTTTTTTTGCCAAACTATGTCATAGATCGCAGACATAATGTTTTATCACAGGGAGTAGTAACTAAACTTAAATTATAAATTTTAAATTTGGTAGGAGGATAATATATTGTAATAAAATTGTTTTAAATTTACTCAAAGTCTGTGCAACGATAATATATAAACAATAGTGAGAAAACTCGTTCGACRAAATTAAGTGGTTTTGGTGYAAAATATAGGTATAGGTACTACAGGGCTGTCTGACTTTTAATTTGATTTTGATTGTTATTGTGGTTGGCTGTTGGCCAATATTGACTTTATTTGGACGTGTGAGTTTATAAGGCTATAAAATACAAACAAAACTTAGGTATTTTCTATGGCTTCTAATTTGATTTTATAAGAACATTTTACTGCTTATGCTGATATAGTGATATCGTATTATATTACTTATGCTATGTAGTTAATATAAGTAATATAACTACAAAAATTAATATATTTGAAGTTCTAAACACACAATAATTGATTTAATTTTTTTTTTACTATGTAGTCTCCAATTTTAGTTATCCGTAATAACATTGATTTTATTTTGTAAAAGTCATCTTTTCTGAATATAAATACTTAATCAATTATAATTTAGAATTAAATAATTGTTAAACAACACGTTATACGAGATAATTACGATATGCATTAATAGCATTACAATGACATGCCAAATCGACTATAATTTTTATAGTATATAGGTAATTAAATAAAATTTTAAATGCATTTTTGTAAATATATAATAACTCACAAAAAATGAAAACTATGTTTACTGAAAATTTAACTATATATAACAYAACTTGGATATGAGGTTCGGAATTCATTTTTTAATATCGTTTAGTACAAGTACTTTATTTATACCAAATTAATGTAAATTAAAACTTTTTTTATGATCTTTGTATATACAGACTTTAAAACATACGATGCATGTATATGTGTGTTTTAAAATTGATTAGCTGAGCTATACGAATAATCACGAGGCCATAACCTTCCTTAATTATAAAAATTATTATACAGTAGACATACCAARTGTTATATCAACCTAAGCTTACAGTTATTAATGTGTTTCGTGTTTTCACTGCTTATTAGTTATTTATGGTTGAATGTTGCCAACTAATAAGGTATTCTTCAAGGTGTAATAATATTATTCCTTTGTATTATTTTCAGGTTGACATACAAAGCCGATCAAAAAAACAACATATTTAAAAATAACGAAGATAATGGTGTAGCACAAAAAAATAAAGACGAATGTAACAATACTGTCAAAGAAGAATCGATTAAAACTATAAATTCTGTTTGACATCATTCAYGTATAAACGAATGTGATGTAATAATGTGGTGAATTTATTCACAGCATATTTATTTGATATTATGTTATAACTGTTATAACTTTATAGCCTTCCTACCTAACTATAATATAGACGTTAGACATACCTACTTATACCTTCATTACCGTTAGTGTAGAACCAAAATTGTATTTATGTAAAATAGTCACTGTAATAAATTGTACCATATTTTAAACAATATTTGCTTACATAATGTAAAATGTAATTCAAATTAATACAAAATCGTAAATCCTCATAAATTTAGTGTTAAATGTAAATATTATTAAGACGTTCAGATGAAAAGTTTTTGTGATATGTTTTAATTGTTCTAATTTGATCTATCTAATAAATATTATAATTTTTTACTTTGTAAGCATATAGGTTAACGTTTTTATATGAATAAGTTTAAAACTCTAATGTACYTTACCTATAAAAGGAACTGTTTTATAGATCCTCAAATAGTATTAAGTTTATAGGATAGAATATGTATTGAACCTTTGTAATTTGAGATAATAGCCAATGTACCAAACCTATCTAGGGGCTATAAAATGCTTATATAAGTTATTCAAAACATTTTTTTCAACCTGAAATCCTTTGATTAATCGTTTAATTTATGTTAAATGAAACTATTGTGTTTTTATATGGCTAAAAATAAATTGAACTTTTGAAAGAATATTTTTTCTTGTATTTTTGATASTGAAGTAAATATTACAATAAAGTTAACTTCATTAGTTCAGACTTTAGAAGACTGTCGAGTGTTGACATAATTTTGACAACATTTTCATAATATTATACTTTTTATATAATAAGCAATTTGTTGTCAAACATTTAAATATTAGAAAGACGTTTATAAATGTATAGAATAATTTATGGAATAAATTACAAAATTAAAAATTAAACAATAATGTCATTTTTTTAAACAAAATTATAAATAAAATTTAATATTTAATAAACAAAAAAAAAACATAAAATAATTATAAAATAATTATAAAAATAAAGGTACTTACTGGAATAGATAATACAAAAACAAAATCAATAATGTAATAAACATGAAGGTTATATATATAAGGTATATATAAGGTTATATAAGGTTATAGTAAAAATGCAATATTAATTATTAAAACATAATATTATATATTATGTGCAATACCTATGTGATGTACAGGGCATTTTTACCTACATTTATTTTCTTTGATAGGTAATAAATTAGTATACCTACTTAATCAAATACTTAGATTTTACATACAATTTCAAGAATATCCTGTATTGCTATATCGGAACCAACTTCCTTTTTCATACGTTAATCAATCTTTTTTCTTATAAACTATAAACAATTGACTTTTTTGAAAAATTGATATGTCTAAATCATAATTCAAACAAGCAGCTATTGATTTATTTAAAATTGTGTAGTGACCTCAATGGGTTTATAATTTATGGAGGCACGGGGCTAATTAATTTAAAAATTATATTAATTAACATTTATCTATGAATCTATAACTTGTRAAAATTATCAAAATAATAAATATTTTAGGTTATAAATAATACCAATTTTATTCATCAATAAAACCATTATATTTAATAAGCACACTAAATAACTAAAAAATTAATTGTTTGAATTTTGATTTAAACACATTAACATTTATAAAATTAGAATTATCAGTTTAAGAGGACGCTACACCTGCATGTGTTGTCTCCGTCTTACAAGTGCATAACATAACAAATTTTACGCTCAGTAGATCACGTTTTGCTCCGTTAGTTTAAAATTTAGAGTGAGTTTACCTCTCATAAAAATTAAATGTAACATTATTATGGATGGCTTCTCGTAGGTTTTTTACTATATTTTTATAATTAAACTATAAAATATTTAGATCTAATTGTAATCTCTATTTTTTATAATTACATATTATTTACATTTCAACATGCACATAACTGCATAATATTTGTAATTACTTAATTAATATTGATCTAAAAATATATCAGTACTAGTAAATTATACAAGTATAACATTGAAAAGTATTTATAATATTTATAAATCRAAAAAACGTATGTTTTTTTAAAGTTTCAGAACAAAGTTTCAGTGATCATAAAGGTTTCCCCCACTCTTATAATCCGTTCCTGGATTCACTAAATCAAACCAAAAGTACAATTTCTGATAGTACCCATAAAACAAATGTTTCGTACACACCAAGTGAAAACCAATGTTAAAAATTATTTTGGTATTTACATTTAGATCAAATATTTGACCAATGTTAACTTCAGAATTTATGATTGGTACATCAAAGTTTTTCACAAAACTATCTTCTCCGTCAAAATGAAAAATGATGTATTTGAAAAAAACAAAAGTTGAAGACAAGTATAAACATGTCAACATATAATATACATAATACATTAATTTAATTTTTTAAGTAAATGTTTAGTACTTTTACACAATATATCCTAATAACATTTAGAAAACAAGAGGTTTAACTTACTTTAAGTGTAATAGCTAGGTATCTAATCTTTTGTTTATACATGCAKACATGTAGTGTATACAGAATACAGTATAATAAAAGTAATAAAACATAAGTTTTTAAAATAATAATCTCTTGGCTTTACAAAAATATTTTTGGTTATTGTTTAACACACGATCTGTATCGCAGTAGTCTGCTGTGTATAATTATAAGTATGATGWCGAATCTATATAACAGTCAACCCCAATATATTGTATTTATTTTAATGGATATCCGATATCAAATTTCAGAAAATATTTTTCTACTTCATTGATTTTTATTCACAAATGCACATTATTATTCTAGTACTAAATCGTAAATATATATTCTGCGCATCAAATTTCAACGATTCAACAAGCATAACCAAATGTTTTCCTTTAATAAATAATAATACACTTCTTCAAATTCTGATCTTTAGAATTTCTAAGTATACTTACTTAAGAGGACGCTACACCCGCATGTGTTGTCTCCGTCTTACAAGTGCGTAACATAGCAAAATCTGTTTAGCGCGGGACAACTGTTCTCCCTCAATATWTATAATAGAATTTTCAAAATTTCACAACGCATAGGTAAGAACTTTATCAGTGTCATAGCGTCGTTATTTTTTTGATAGCACAAGCCAATAATTTTAAGTAATTTAATGAAAAAATAAATGTATTTTCTTAAGCTTATAACTTTAATTATATTTATGTTATCAAAAAAATAACGACGCTATGACACAGATAAAGTTCTTACCTATGCGTTGTGCAATTTTGAAAATTCTACTATAAATATTGAGGGGGAACAGTTGTCCCGCGATAAACAGATTTTGCTATGTTATACGTTTGTAAGACGGAGACAACACATGCGGGTGTGGCGTCCTCTTAAGTATAGTTGTAGAACCTTTTGTGACTGATTAACTCAAATATTCAGTCTAAATGTCTTATCATTAAAATCATGTGTTATTCTATTCATTTACTAAATAATTAGGTATTTTAGGTGAGATTACTATTATTTTATAGAAGATAACTTGGACCCAACTCTACACCCTGATTTAGTGATGTATCTACTACGGGTGTGTTGTTTTGACCACAAATATTTGTAGCCGCGTATTGAATCATAATTGTTTAAATCTCCGCTAAGATAACATTTTTGGAACATAAAATTTTTATTTATACTGATTTAACAAATACATCATATAACACTTTATAAGACTAACTAACTAATTAAAATATAATTTGTATGAACAATAATGATATCAAGTTTTACGATGTACTCCGTTTTTTCTTGTCTTTAAATTAATTTTAAAAAAACTATACCTAAATCATCTTTATTAACGATGTGTTATTTTTTTGTTGTCCACATGTGCTTGCAATTACAATAAAGAATCCTGAAAAAATTAAAAATTCTTAATGTATAATTTTTTTTGTATTAATGCTAACATAATACTCACATGAATATTAATAACAAAGGGAAAGTTAAGATAACATTTAACAAAAACACAGCACCAGGTAAGTATTCAAATGTTAAATTATATGTTGCACTGTATAACGAAACTAAAATGAATGACATGAATGTGCTCATTAGTCCTTGGATGGAGTTTATCCGACCTAATACACAAAAATAATAAATAAATAAATTTAATTAAAATCTTAAATGCAAATACGACAATATACATAATATAAACCTACCAAGCTTTTCATTATCTACGATTTTGGATGTCAACGAAGTAGAAATAGTAAGTGCGGTCCCATGGAAAAAGTCAACCAATGGAACTATAAGTAAAAATGTTAATATTAAATACCTATTACGGTAAAAAACGCTTTATTTCATGGATTATAATAATTAATTGTTTTTTAAATTTACTGATGTATAGTTGCCAAGGTTCGTTGACAAACACGTAACATATTGCAGCAAGAATATCAAATGTACATGCAATATAACCTATAATTGCATCATTTATTTTCAGACGATGGCTCAAAACAGTTACAGAAAACAATGTTCCTAGAAATTAAATTTTGATTAGTTGTTGATTTTTACAATTTATTAAGTAATTAAACAAGATAATATTATTTTGCTATTGTAGAGTAAGTTGTTAGATGGCTGAAATTACATCTTCATCGAATCTATTTTAATTTTAATATATTAAACTCTAAAAGTACAGTTTAGTACAATTTAATTACCAAAATGTTAGACTGAAATATTTTCAAAATATTATAATGCCTCATCCTGAAAATTATAAAAGACACGAAAAAAATTTTACCTAATGGCTATATTTTATGTAATATTCGAAACCGGGTTTGAGTATCTAAGGTTGCCTGTACGTGAAGTATTGAATGTTCGGATAGGATCAATATCTATGCAAGATTCAAAATTATTGAGGAACAACAGTAAATACTGTTATTATAATTATAAATTATTAAACGTATAAATCCCACCTATTTAGGTTGAAATAGGACACAATTTATTGGCAAACACATATAATATAATACATTGTTTCAAACTATAATACATATGCCTATAAATAGTTCAAATTAAGTCGAAATTTTTTGAAAATTTCACGATGGATAGAATATACTTACATAAACATTCGGTGAAAAATGCATGTATCTATGGTCATATTTTGTTTTAAAGTGACATCAAAAACCAAAATCGATTTTGTCGAAAACTGATTGTGCGTAAAATTTCCCGTTATTCCCTTAATTTTTAGTTTGTTCATCCCCATTATTTAAAAAGATATTGAGAATTTTTTTAGAAACCCCCAAAGTACCAACTAGATTCACTTTCTGATCGAAAGAGGTACTGAATTCGAAAAATCGAAGCATTTTTACTGCCCCAAAACGTGATGACAGACACAAAAAAAAACAACACACATCATGGTGAAATCAATACATTCCTCACTCCACTCAGAATCTAAAATTATAATGGTGCAAAATATCACATTACATTTTATTTCGTACCTATTATATTATGTTTACTTATACTAATTAATTATGGTGTAATGATTTATAACTCAAAATTTGTTATTCACATGACCTACTGATATATCTCTGAAGAGTCTATTATTTAAATTACTCTCATAAAAGATTCGTTCATCAAAAGAGGGGCAATATGATAAAAATTATCTATAAATAATAACATTTTTTTTGCCGATAAATAAATACTTAAAAACTTATTATTTTTATTTTTTATATGTATTTTAAATATAGTTTTCAATAGGAACTTATTATTTAATTCTCCGTATTATATTTTATTAAGTATGTTAATTATTTAATACTGATAAAATTAGAAAATGCTAACAATTATGTTGGTAAATGTTCAGAAAAAAAAAATTAAGTATTCCGCGTATTTCATTATATTATATTGTCTGTTTACAATAAACTAATCTCCTTGTATACATACTTTCCTGAAAAATTTACATTTCGATGAAATAGGATGAATGCAACTGTTTAGTGTTTATAATTGGTTTTGTCAATAAAATAATAGGTTCCCACAGCTTATTATTATATATTTGTCCATAATATGTTCACTAAATCATTGACACCATTGTTAAAATCATTAATTTGTTTATATACCGCATCTTAAAATATGTGATATATTATTAGAAATGTAAGTACAAATATTATATTTATTTTGATGAGTGATGATACAATTTATAATAGCCAATATATTATTAAAATTCAGGATACAACTGAGCTGTTGAAAACTGAGTTTATGAATTGCCTCCCAAGTGCGTCCCGGATAAGGTATTATCCGAGTGGGAGCAATGAAAAGAATGTTTTTTTGCCGTAACATCGTGGTTAAAATATATATCTAGAAAAATATTTAAAAAAGTATTCATGTTTTCCAACTGTTTCTTTATTATTTTAATAGATATCCGAAACATAACTAAAAGGTATTATAATGATGGCTATATACTAGTTAAGTTTATTAAAGTCTATTAAAGCCTACTCCAAGGGTTTCTCTTCTTGATCGAGGTTTTCGTAGATTATACCAGTGTTGTGATTCAATTAATATTTAATACTTTYAGAGGTATTTATCATACACTCATACCTATCGTTACATAATTAATRATTAAGTCTGTCGATAATCATAATTTAGATATTATATTGATGTTTTATTTTTATAATTTTCAGACAAGTCTATAAAGTATCATAATATAATCATAGACAGTACCACTATAAAATAGCAAGAATTTATATAAAAATATATCTATCACTTCAATTTATATCAGTAAAATATTATTAATTTCAATAAAACTACAAAACAACATTTTTTACCTACCCTAACAATTGGAATGAAAATTCTTTCCATAATAATGAATCGTATTTCATTTCCTTRAAAATTTATTAAGGCTTCAACTGCGATAGTTATTAACCTAAATTTAGATTATGACCATAGTCCACAATGACAAAATAAAACAAAAAAGTATTAGGTATCTACAATTATTTACAATTTTAGGCTTATGTGAATATTATTTAAAATATATACATATATAAATTGTTTTCCTGCTTTTGTTTTTGCCAATTGCATGTTGAATTGTAAATTGGTTGCTAAAGCCTTAACTCGCTTCAGTGGATTTCTACGTTTGGTCACTAGGTGATTGACCGTAAGGTTTTCCTTAAGTTCAGGGATCGGTTGTTTGGAGATGAGGAAGGAGAAAATATCGTTAGATTCATGTATCCTATTCTGACTCTGATTATTACTACATTGTTTCATCTTTTCAAAAATGATAAAGATATTATGACCATTGAAAGCAACTATTAACAACCGGCTACGACTTATACTCAAAAACGTATTATTGGCTTACACCAAACGAATGTCTATTAAATGGTAGGTCAAAGAATTTTAACAGACGTCATCCTAGCTTTTTAGGTCAAGGAACTATGTTAAAAATTAGTGGTTTATTTTTTTTAGTTTACTTCTCCCTAATCGGATCATATGTTTTAGATGTTAACTGTAGAAAAATATTTCAATAAATGATTGAGCTACTCGTATTAACAAATTTAATATGTAGATAATATAGACAACAATCTTCAACTAATAATTGTGGAATTTTTAAAACAAATTATAAAATATGAAAGTACCTACCTATGTTTAGCCCAAAAACCAATACAATCAGTATATTTTATGTTAAATAATAAATTAGATATAAATTTAAATCAAGCATAAATTGCTAAAAATATTATATTGTTATTATACCATTTTTCGTAAATGATTTGAAAATATTGTTGATATCCACATTATATCGTCAGAAATATTTATATTTATACTTAGTGTTTTTCTTATGACTAGTGACCTCAGTTTTAATTATTGCGTATATAGTATATACGTAAAAATGTTAATAAACAGATAAAACTATAATTAATGTGATTTGCTTTTAATTCTTTTACCCAGACCCATTAAAACGCATAGTGTGACGATCCCCAAACTCATTACAAAGAGCACCTACATCAGTTTGTCATTACGGGCCAGCGCTTCTTGATATACGCAATTAAATAAGGTTCTCTGAGGACTTGGCAAAGCATATTATTCAGAAATTTTATTAGCGACCGGCAATTGCATACAATCATTAGGTAATGTTTTTGCGAGTGTTCGCCATTATTCAAATATATCATAATGTTACTGTGATGTTGATGAACTAAATCAAATATTTAAAAAAAAATTATTAATTAGATGATAAATTTAGTAGCTACACTATTATCTGAATTGTAATTTGTAATTTATTATTAGTAATAAAAATATTGTAATTTTAAATTATTCGATAGAATAAAATATGTAGTCAGTTGATTCACAACTTGCAGAATCTCGGAGGTCATGTTATATAATATTTGAAATACTATTTATTTATTTATTTTTTTTTTTTTTTTGTAAATCAATAAATCATTTAAAATATAATTACTCAAAACTAAATATTCTCTAACGAATAKGAATCACATACCTACATTGAGCCACTTCTGCACTTACCAAGTTTTAAATACGCTATAACAATTAATGTTGTATTAAAAAGATTAATGATTAAATAATCTTAAACTCCTAATTAAATATGAGAAATAACAATGACTCCATAATAATTTTCTAGTTTATTTTCGTTATTTACCTGTTGCTATATTGTTATACATATATTATAGAATTATTTAATACGTAATCATTTAAGGACATATTAATCAAACCTATATAATATTTTAAGAATATATATAAGTGTTACCTTTAAAATTATATTTTTAGATTATATTAAACAGATTATTAGTTACCAATAAATATCGTCAACATTTTGTAAGCAGCAAAATAACTGTATTGCACTTCATACCATTTGAATTTAAATCTCATAAATAAATATGTGACTGCATATTCACCTAAAACATTAAATAATTTAAATTTCACTTGAAAACAATGTAGCTTTTTACATAGTTTATTATATCTCAATAAATACACGCTGATAAATTCGCGTAAAAACTTTTGAATAATTCTGTACTGACACATTTAAAAAAAAAAATAAATACAAATCATAAGAATTCTACATTTTGATTTATATACATTACTCATATTACCATACTTTCATACTAAACATGCATTCCTTAAAAATTTGTTWAAAAAATTAACTCTTATGCATTATTAAATATATAATTTTAGTCGTACTTGAAAAATAATTTGTAATTATTAAAACCGACTTATTAATTTTAAATTTATTCTTAGTAATAAAGTTTTAAATATTGTAAGTACTTTGTACTAATGAGATTTAAAACTTATTTTKATTTTTAATCGTCGTTTAAAAGAAATAAAAACATATTTGTTTAACTAGCTAACATTTAATTTAATTCTGAATAATTTACAAAATGTTATTTATTTTATGATTTGTGATTTTTAAATAATCGCTGGTTTATCTACCGGTTCAAAGTATTAAAAACTATGGAATGAGGATTGATATAATAATTATATAAAATCTTATGTACTAAATTGGTTTCAAAATATTAAAAATCATTTTAATATTTTTTTTTAAAACAAGTGATAAAGATGTTTACATAATTCAGGTAACAAATACCATCACGAAACCCGCGTTAATTACTCGTATTTTGGTCGGAAATAACTAATAAGTTTTGGTTATAAAACCATATTTGAAAATACGAGGTAACTGCTTTTATGTTAATATTTAGATATTTACCTCGATTACCGATAACCAATAACAACTTCCAGCATTCCAAAACTAAAAGCARTTATTGATTTTCTGGTTTTAAAATTATCGGTTTTTACCTCTTTTCGTTACAAATCGGTTACTGGTTTTAAGTTCTGATTAAAGCTTATAARCTTTTGGATCAAATGGATTTACTATTGTATAAATAGTATAATAGCATTCATATCTATTAATTTTCAACATTTTATTTAAAYAGTATGATAACTCACCTCCAATTCTTCCCACTAAAACAGCCTGACACAATAGTAATGTTGCTAACGTAATCGAATAATTTTTACTGCTTCCTTTAAATACGTTCAAATAATTTTGCATAAAATGTTTTGGTTTCAACCAAACAACRTTTTTATCATAAGGTATAGAAGTATCTTTAATAAATATTAATCCAACCATAAAAGCAATTAAATTTAATGAAATAGGTACCAAAAATGCTCCATAAAATCCAAGACCAACATTTAAAAATCCAGCCAGTCCTGTTCCAATTAAAGTACTGATAGTGTAAATTGCATTTATGATACCGAATTTTAATGTTCTGGATTCATTGGTACAATTATCTGATATATAAGATATCACACCTACCCAGAACATATTTCGGGCACCAAATAACCCTGGTGTAATGGCTTCGAAAATTGCGGCAATTTGTGGAGACCAGTTCCAAAAATAAACATTCAAAATGCAAAAACCATCAGTTAAAACTTGACCTACAAGTGGTGTTAAAATCAATGGCCTCCGACGTCTCCCATGACTGTCACTCCATGGACCTGAAACGAGTTTTATATATTTATTAACTATATTTACACAACTATTAAAATATTTAAATAATAATWATTATTATATTTATATATAAAAAAATGTAAAAAAATATACAATCTACACTATACATRTACAAAGGGAATACTTATTATTTAAGCAAGTTTATTAATTTATAGCTGTGTAATTCGCAATTTGCGTATAATTTGTAAATCTACTTATATATGTTATATGTATAGTATTACCTACATAATATAGTTTATACAGTTATCCATATTAGTTTTATTTTGATTTAAGAAGTCATACATTGGTGACAAGTAGGTGAAAAAACAATCATTGGGTCGTCGACTCGTCGTTTACATTGTATAGAAGGACGCGTGCGATAATAACCGATCATTATACAGATAACAGACATAATTATATTACCAAATATTACGTTAATCATATTGTATTAATATAAAACTATTCAGAACATCCTAATCAAATATTCAGTGACTCCTTGGGTGCCCTTAATAGCGTTAAAAACCAGTTCAAACCCAGAGACATAGCGATTAAAATACTGAACAAATTAAACGAAGCCATGTATACAAACAAACAAATCACTCTCATGTRGGTCCCCGGGYACATCGGCATTGAAGGAAATGAACTATAGTTGATAAACATGCTAAGCTCAGAGTCACAAGCTCCGTATGTAAAACTATTTTTGGACCCACCAGCCACCTACACTGACCTTAAAAGATACATAAATGATATAACCAACACCAGATGGCTCAATACATGGAAACAACAAAACACCAAACTTAACAGAATTAAAAGTAGTACCTTCAGGTGGATAAACAGCTCTTTAAACAGAAAAGAAGAATCGGTACCTACTTAACAGATTGAGAATAGGACACACGCAACTTACACACGGGCACTTAATGGCTAAGGAAAACCCCCCTCGTGCGAAGTCTGTGGTGTCCAAATATCAGTGAAACACATCACAACAGAATGCCTAAGATATCAGCGAGAACGAMAAAACATCGGATTGGATACGACCCTCGAAATCGCATTGGGACCCAATGCTGTGGAGAACAATAAAATGATAGTTTATTTGAAGTCAACAGGCCTCTATAACTTAATTTAATACTTTGCAATTGTTTTCCTCCTTTTTTGTTTTTGTTTTTTTCCTTTTATATAAATACAAAGAAGCTATACTCTTACGCCAAATACYTCTTAAAATAATTGTTAAAATCTTAAATCTTGTAAACCTACCATAATTATTTTATTGTAACTAATGGCCATGAAGCTGTCGGGTTTTAAATTTAAAAAAAAAACTATTCAGGTACATATTACTGTCAAAATATGTATTATTTAGTCATTTAGGTTGTTCGGAGTAGTGTCTAAGCCAGAGAATACTTTTGTTGGAGTGTTTGATCGCATTATGATAACGTATTCCAAGTCTAACGCATATTATATTACCGTCCGTCGACTGTCAATAGTAACTGGTTAGGTATGGTTATCAATAGTAAAATGTGTGTTATACCTATCTATTGGTTATTATTATACAGCTATTGTATTGCTATTATTACTACCTTTTCAATAGTGTAATAACATAGTCAATAACCAATACACAAGTCAACCTAAACCTATTATCTACATATAGGTATAATATGTTGTGTACTAAATTTATTATCATGATTCGCTGCCGACTTACCCGCTAGCACGATTATCACGATGGGAATGCTATACTGTATAAACGCTTTCCACGAGTAAATGGTGGACACAACGTGCTGGGCGTGAGCCTCGCCTTCAGTGCACTCGCCGAACGGTACGGACGAGTTGCACGCTTTCCGCAGAAGCAGATTGTTCTGGAAAAACGCGGACATGGACAGCGACACGGAATACAGGAGCGTCACGATTTCCACGAAACACCCCATGGATCGCGAGTCGTCCATCCTGAGCGCCGGTCACCGAGCGAGTAAACCTGCCCACCCGTGTTACTACGCGACGCACGTGCACGACCGCCGGTGGCGGCAGCTCTCCGACCACTCGAACGAAACAATAATCACTTATTGCCTATCATTTATTACAGCACAGTACCGTCGGTTATTATTGCATATTTGCCTTCGTTCTGCGCAAGCTACAGTCGTTGACTGCCATCGTGGCATCGTGATCGTCGTCGTCGTCGTAGCCAGCCAAAGTTTTCTCCTCCCACTCATACTGGATCAGTATAATATAGGTATCTCGTTATATACAGAGTGATTGTCTCATCATGCTCACTTCATTTTTTTCTTTTAATAATGTTTGAATGATACTTACCTCGTTTTTTTCGCACGACAGTCATTTTTTTTTTTTTTTTCACCCAAATGTATTGTAAATACGTGTTTTAGATGAATTATCACCATTTTTTACCATACGTTTTAAACATATTTTTCTTTGTATTTTTAGAGTAATAAATTGGTAAGCAGATGACTTTTATTGAACATCTTGTTGTTTTCAAATCGTTATTCAAACGAGTGGTTTTCGAATTTATTTATTTTTGTGTACAAAGCATAATATGTTTAAAACGTATGTTGATTATTGACTTTGATAACTTGATAATTACTGTAATCATTTTAAATATTTAAACATTTTAATATTTTTAACGAATACTTGGTGAATTGCTGTGGTATATGTATACAAAYATACAATTAAATTTGAAYAACACATTATGACGATTTAACGGCAGTAACAACATTACTAACACATCTAATTTCCTCACCCCAACGCAGAGTGCAGTGGTGTCATTTCTGAAGTCTTAACATACCATAGRATGTGAATGATCTTTGTATAATACAAAGTTTTTGATGAAGCTGACAAACACGAATTCTCTTAACAGGATTATTATCGACATTTTTATGRTTTTATACATTTAAAAATTATGGTTTTTTTTTTGTCTAAAGATAATTTTGTTTTTTCGTACTTAGATGTATTTCTAACATTATATAAGTATTATGGTTTTAATTCACTTAAATTATCTAAATAATTTCCTTTTATTAAATAATTTGACAAAATATTAATTAGCTTTTTGCATCAAGTGTACTAGTTTTTAGTTGAATTTATTTGTTTAAGACGAAACGATGATAAATTACATTATTTATATTTTATATAATTATTTGGTAATGTTTTTATAAAGATAACATTATTTAAATCTTAACGTACTTCTAAAGAGAAACTCTGATTATGGTTGATAATTAGTATTCCACTCAAAATTCTGAAATACCTGGATGGTCGTTAATCACGTGAATCATCCGATCATCATCATCATTGTTGTAGTCGTCATTGGTGCTCAATATCTTGATTTGTTGCTATACGTATCATAACAAAATATATTACGGAAACTTTACATCGTTTTCTAGTGAGGACTGAGGACAGAAACTCGTATGAGCACATTTACCATTTTTACAGCTAGTTTGCTAAAAAAGCACATCTCGATTGCGCAAAAATATGTCGAGTAAGAACCTGAGTTTCCACATTATTTACTGGACTAACCGTTCAGCAGACCACACAGTAGTTATCAACGTGTGATGTGAAACTGTACCCAATACCAATAGTTTACTAGTAGTACCCAATAAAAGAATCGAGAATGATATATAATCTACACAAACGATTATGTTTAAGATTATTAATCATCATATTGTTATCGAATAGTCAAGCATTGGTACTGACTGATAAATAATTAATTTATCATATTACGTTAAAATTAAAAAAAAAAAAAACAATTCATCATGAATTGCATCGTTTATTGGGTACCTATTTTCGTAATATTACTTCTAAGTAGAAGGTATTAAAAATTTAAAACAAAACAAATGTTAGTCGGACATAATTTCTTTCACGGAGTAACACAAAAGACACGTGCATTTTTACAATCAACAGATTGAATTTAAAATAATTATTATTTATAATTGAACAAATCAGACACTTGCAATCTGGTGGAAATCAACGGAGACAAACGTCAGACGTATTTGTGTGCGGCACCTAATATTGGAATATTATTACTTGTACGTTGTACCTATATTTTGCTATCATTTTATTTTTTATATAAGCTCAATGGACAATGTTGTCGAGAGTCTAAATTAAAAAAAAAATGTCATTATTATCACTTGTAATTGCATATTATACGTGCATCATTATATATTATAGGTCTAACGTTATGGGTCTAAGGTTTTGTCCCACCATAAATATTGAATACTTAATAATTGTGCATAGATGTATTATAAGTTGCATATTATGTATATTTATMATCTATTAACTGAATTTTAATCACTACCATCGTTCTAATAAAGGATCAAACCGGATTAATCAGTAATAAATTTAAAAATTTACTATTAGGTAACGACTACGTCTACGGCATAACACATTGCATTAACTATGTATTTATGTACTATGCATATATTTATAACTGATAGAGTACTGTATTCATAAAAAATTATTGTGAATGGTCTATATGGAATGCAACCTTAATGATTGCGTAATGTGAAAGTTATAATAGATATAGGTAATAGGTACCAACTCGATRTACATAAAATTGAGTTACTGTGTCTGCAGGTAGATATAACGTACTAGGTTGTAGGAGCAGAATAAAAACAAGTTGTTATTATAGAAATAGCTTCAAATACATACCTACATCTTTGATTTTAAACTTACTGTGCTTTCAAGTAAAATATATTATACAAATTAAATGATGTAGGTATATTGATACCTAATAAATAATATAATATAATTTGCTTTTTTATCGATTGAATCTTGCAAAATGTTCAAATTTGATTTCTTAGGTTATGTACTTATGCGCCACTTAAGTGCATTCATCGTGTATTTATCTTTAGTCTTTACCGTTAATATTTCATCTATTCACAATCAGGTATTCCAACCGATATCAAACAACCTCTGGAGGTACAACACACCTTCTTTGGAAACCAAAAAATAAGTATACCTATTGGTACATAAATAAAAAGTAAAACAAAAATACTCAAATCCGTCGATTCTACCAATTTTCTAAACAGATTTATACAATAAATATATTTTAACTGCTTATATTCTGTATCATCCAACCAGCGATTCACATAATATTACGACGTTGTTCTGGATAGTGTAGTTAAATAATTTAACAAAATTTCCACAGTTAAATAAAAAAAGTCAATATTTTTCATAAAATCGTTTAATAGCTAGTGTAATAAAATTTACTATAATAGTTATAAGGCATAATAAGATGCATACAACTCAACGGCTATAGTACACCTAACCTAACCTAACCGTTCCTTGGACTTCATAATATTATTAATAGGGTTCGGATTTGAAGGCAAATTCCTTTCTTTTATTTATCATAATAGAAGTATAATTTTTATACAAAAATGTGTTTCATTTAATTTCTTAGACGATGGATGCATTTTTTGCCTTTTTACTTATAAATGCCTTTTTGCCTTTTTTTTACCTTTTGTACTTATAAATGCCTATTTTGTGTTTAATTTTTTCAGTTGATTTTATAATTTTATACACAGCTTGCGTATTATTGCTACAAATGGGTTTTATTATTCGCAATATTTATCAATACCAGTATTTGGTATGGCCATAAAATTAATAATTATTATAATATAATTATTTAAGTATGAAATACGCCCCGATAACTTCGGTGGACGTAGAAAGATCGTTTTCGATGTACAAAAATATTTTAACCCCTAACCGTAGCCGTTTTACTGAAGACAGCCTATCAAAATACATGGTAGTCAATTTTTTTTTAATACCAACTAGTTTATTTTGCATGCAGTTTTAATTTTTAATTTGTATTTTTCTCAAAATGTGTGCAATTGAAAGTGTTTAAAAAATATTCACTTTTTTATTTTGTAGTATATTTATGAATTGCCTTTTTATATAAATTAAATGCCTTTTTTTACATTTTAAATGCTTTTTTTATTGATTATATTGCCTTCAAATCTGAACCCTGATTATTATTATATATTTATATGGCGTTTCCCATACTTTTTTCCAAGACCAGAGGTCCTACAATTTGGTCAACGTCCTTGTTGTTATTTTTGGAAGTGAATGTTGTTTCAGTAAATATGTTAGCTAGATCATCATTCAAAATGTGATGAGCGTCACTTCAATAGTCCAATGAGAACTGGACAGGTCTTTCTGGATTTAAGAAGCCAATTAATATTTCGATTTTGATGAACAACTTTTTAAATAATTAAAATCTTGTGATTAATATAATTGAGATATTTAATATTGTTAATGTTATTAGTTTTTTTTTTAAACATTGAGGTGTTTTTTTATTATCTACCACATTATTGTGGAATAAATATACTTATTACGTAGCTAAATTTTTAATAAGTTCTGAAAATCCGTTCGTCAGTATTCGTTATAATATAGGTAGGTAGTGAATAGTATTTTTAAATAGCTAAAACAGATAGTTATGACTTTATGAAGATGGACCTTGTATTAAACGTTCAAAGATTTTGAACTCTGGTATAGAGTAATTCTTTTTTATCAATATACATTACATTAGACCTCACCAATGTACATGTCATAAAAAAAAAAACGTGCCAATGTATTTTTAATATTTTCCAACAAACTGCTATTATATCAACTTATGSGGAATCTTGTATTAAATTTTTAAATGTTAAAGATTTTTTGATTCAATGAATAAAATTTTATTGTCATTTATTGACTAAAAAATTTAATTAACGGAAAATTTAAAATGTTAATAACTTACAAAAAGTTGAATATTTTAAAAATTTTGAAAATTTTATCAAGTATAGAAATTGATAAAATAAACATATGGTGTATATTTCAAGTCTCTACAGTTATTCGTTTTTGAATAGCAACAAAATAAGAATATCGGTAGGTTAATTGAGGTAAATTGAGTGAATATCCAATGTTGTAATTCAGATAGAAAATAAAAATTTGATTTGATTTTCCTGTAAAAATTTATTTATTTGATAAAAGTAAGCAAACCTATGAAGAATCTTGTATTGAATTTTCAAATCTTAGATTCAAAAAGATGAATATTTATGAATATATTATTCAATATAAATTGCAAACTTTGGTAATTTTTACGTATTTTGTTAAAATTCGAACTTTCGATGCTTATTAAAAAAATG